CTGTTCTTATTTTGTAGCAACTTCCAATGTTCTCCACATCAGGAAATTGCGTTACTTGTATTTGAGAGCGCAATTAAAGGACTTGGCAAAGTGCCAAGGAGCCGCACGCGACACGCGCGCTTACGACGGATGTTATGAAGGACGGGAATCTGCGCCGCAAAAAGGTGTAAGGCGGAGCATGGAGGAATTAGGGTCCTGTATCTCCATTCCTGGGCATGTTTGGGCGGGGGGACCACGACACATCGACAGCTGGGGGGCTGATAGTCTCATACACCCTCAATGTGTTTGAGCGTACCATGTGTCTTTAAACCATTCAACTCTAATAAGCTCATGCAGAATGGCCGTTAAGTAGCAAAATGCAAAATGCCCGCCCCCGCCGTCGCCGAACTGCCCCGAAAATGATAACCCCATAATATGGGAACTGAAACGTTTCACACCTTCAGCACATGACCTTCTCCAACGAGTTCCATTTCAGTTAACGTTGGTAATCGCTGAGACAACTCATCCTTTAATGCTTCTACGAGTCGATAAATAACGTTGAATAATTCTATGCGAACGCCGTCTTGTTCAGCCTGCCTCTTAACAGCTGAAGGTGGCTGAACGTTGAACAAGTAGATCAAAGCTGAAACAAGACCGGAATTTCAATTGTCTCGCAAACATTTGTTTTTGCGACTGAAATCCCACCTCCGGTCTCTTTAGCCATTTCCACATCCATGTTCGTGGGTGCACCGACACCGAAATCAACTAGTTGAAATTTGCATTTTTCGCTATCGTAAGTATCTATAACGTTCAGAATTGCTTCCAGCGTTCCTTCCACATCAGTGCGGAGCTAAAAAGTTTTTATTAGGGAACAAGAATGTTCTGGCGAAGCAGATGTGCAAGGATAGCTTGTTCTGTCAGAGATAAACGAACAAAGTGATTACATCATTTCCTTTTAAACTCACGACCTTTCAACTAAATTCGCGACTTTTTAAAGCAATTTCGAGACTTTCGTTAGCATGCCTTATGGACCTACTGAGAGCCCACTCTGACTACCACGTCCATATTCCAGCGTGGCCATGATGTTTCAAATTTTGTTCCATAAGAGACAGACAAGATTTATTCCGAATGATGAGAAATTCCCTACTAGTTAAGACTGTAACCGCTAAAGTGGGGCAATTTTTGGAAGGAAGCGGAGCTCCTACGAAGTGGGCTTGTAATGTTGGGTGGAGCTGAATTGACAACCCAAAAATGCAAAATTCTGGAAAAAGTGGT